TAACAAATAACCAAGTTGAGAAAGACTTCCCCAGGAGAAACCAGACATTGGATCCAGCTGGCACATATCATGGCCATCTTCTTCATTTACTGAGACTTGCAACAGGGGAAATGGGAGGCATAAAATTACTTCCTGAACTGATAACTTTGCAGAAAGGGAGCAAGAAAACAGAATGCACAGCCATCTAACAATAGTTGCAACAATCAGTTTGGAATAATGGTTAAGACGCTGGCTGAGGAACTGGGAGACTGTAAGTTCTAGGCCTCCCTTAAACATGAAAACTGGCTGGGTAACATGAGTCAATCTCAGCTCAACCTACTTCATAGGGTTGTTGTTACAGGGAAAAGAAGAGACAGGAATACGCTCACCACCTTAAATTGTGTATCAGAAAAAGAGAGATAAAAACTTATTATTATATACACTTATTATTATATACACAACCATGTGAAATCACAGCTGCCACTTCTTTAAGTGGTGTCATATTTCATTCATAATGAGTTCTTTCCAGGAACCTGGGATATTGTAACATATCAGCATAGGAAGTGTGGATTAAGAGAGTAGCCTTTTGTAATTGAAGATAGAAATGTTGTCAATGCCTAGATTTTCTAAATGAAGTGCCCTCTATGTTTTTTGAAATGGCACTGATAACCACTGAGACCATCACAGCCTGTATATACCATAATCTTTCCATTTGATTTTCAGATCTTAATACTTTGTGATCTTCTCCAAATCTTTGTCATTATTATTATTATTACAGTCCTCAGCAGTAACTATTTCCCTGCCAGAGCCTCCTATATAAAATTCATGTCAATCTGAGCCATAAATATTTCAATCTGGCTAGCCATATTTCAAAGTTCTTGAATTATCCTGAACATTGTTTGCAGGGTGTTATTTAAAATAAGCGCAATTTTAAACAAGTAGAAAATATGAAAGGGGACTGTCCTAAATATTTCCTTGTTACCATAGGGTGACATCTCAAGTCACCTTATTAACCGAAAACATTTCAGATTGGCAATCAGAAACGAGCTACACACACAAATTCAGGATTCAAAGCTTTTCTAATGGGCACATCTGGAATTTGGAAAGAATGCATGTTTGTTTGCTTGTTTATTTGAAATGGTATATCGTCTCTCTTTGAACAGGGGGTTGTACAAGAAGACCTCCAAAGTCCCTTCCAACAGTTATTGTTATTTATTAATGCTTAAATTTCTAGAGTGCCCAACTCCAGTGACTTTGGGGCAGAGGGCTGTTCAGGAACTAAAAATATATGACAATAAAATAAGGACAAAGGAACAAAAAGATGGCAAAACACACACATTACCTAAAAGGGGTTGTTAGGGCCTGGATGAGGAAAAACCAGCTCAGAGACAACCCATGCAAGACAGAATGGCTACTTATTCAGAACGCTTCTAATTCTGGGGCTGTATGCTTGGCTCTCCACAGGATGGTGTTTCTCCATGGAAACCATGCTTGAAATTTGAGGGTTTCATGGCTCTTGCAGGAAAAGCAGGTGAAAGCATAGCCAGGAAGATCTTTGCTCAATTTGACTGGTGCATCATTGTGGCCTTATCTTAAAAAGTGAAAAGATGTTCACACACACCTTTGTCATCTCTTGTATGGATTAGTCTAATTTGCTTTTCCTGAAGTGCCTTTGAAATCTACCTAGAAAATTCAACTGCCATAAAGTACAGCATCCAGGGTGACTATGGGATGTCCTTGTTACAAGGATGATACAACCAATTTCATTGTATACATGATGAACAATGACAATAAAGGCTACACTATGATCTTGTAGCAGCTTCATTATAAGAACAGCATTAGTTACCATTTTGTTTTCAAATGCAAGTCAAAGCACTAGCTAGAAAGTCCTATATGGCTCCGAACTTTCTCAGACAAATTCTGCCTATCTAAATTTGAGAAAACAGGGAGTGCCTGTGGCAGGTCCCCAGAAAGAATAGCCAGGGAAGGCTCAGAAACAGGCATTTCTGCATTTCTTCTCCTCCTCTGAATAGCCTGCAGGTCAAGGATAATGTCTTCCTCACAGCTGTCAGTAGCTTGCAAAGACAGCTATTCTGAAAGTTATTGGTGGTCAACAGTTGACTGACCAGATTGTCACCAGAGTCTGATATATGGGGTTGAGAGAATAACTGGCCAAGTCACCCAACCAACTTTCATGCCTAAAGCGGGACTAAGACTCAGAGTCTTCCACTTTTCTACACATTATTCAGATGTGTAGAATAATATATTGCGCTGTCATTCCAGATTTTTATTTTTCTGCATTCTATTGTTTGCATATTTATTTGTTTGTTTATACACTTATATGTCTGCCCAATTCACACAAGGTGACTCTAGATGACTTTACATCATTAAAATCTTGAAACTGTCTTTTCTGTGACATATAGTCTTTTTAAGATTGAAGCTGCTTTATATACTATATAAATAAAAATAAGAAGTTTAATCCCAGCCAAAGACACCTTAGTTAACCCTATTGCCTGGGTTCAAGAGATTCATACTAAATGTTTAGTCTTACCATGTTGTGTGAATACAGTGCTAATTGGGGGGGGGGCAATTATATTGTCAATTGGAAATATACATTGGACAAGTGATCCCATTCTCATAACCTGGGCGTCTTCCTGGTATTTAACTATTATCCCAATTTATATAGAAGTTCTGAATAATAGTTCTGTGGTATAAAACAATTTAATATTCAAGCTGAGTAGATTATCTTGTGTAAGCTGGGCTCAATCAGAATGGGATCAACTACTGTATGAATTATTAAATGTTGTTTATGCCTGAAATCCAGCCAAAAGTGATTTATTCAACAAACCAAGACTAACAACCCATGGGCCCAGCCCATGTGAACATCATTGGTTTCTGCTCGTTTCTCTTCAGCCATTTGCCCACTTCCCCCTACACAACAGACACCATAAATTACATATTTTGTTTTGAAGGAACATGTGGGAAATGGCAGTCCAACACCTGCAGGACGTTGGGAGCAAGACATCTGAACTATCTCCACATTGTTTAAAAATGGCTGTGAATGGAATAACAGTCTAGATTCCAACTGCCACTCTGGGGCTTTTTATTTGAGATGCATCCAACCATAGCTAAGTTAGGAAAATGGCAGGCACGAGGAATGCAAAGCCCAGGGAGAAGCAGAGAAATAGCAGGGCTCAGCTGGACTGGAATCAAGCCTGAGGCACTTTTGCAGAGCCAGAAAGGAAGAATGTAGCCAGTCCCAAAAGCAACAAGAGTTTTGCTGCACAATATAGTACGTGGCTCAATGCTTCCATCACCACAAATAACCTCGCGTGCAGACAGAAGATGACTATTTGCTATGGCCTACCCACCCTTCTTTTTTTGTTTACAGAATATAGAAGCTCCTTTACTCTGGTAATTTAAACCAGGCTAAGAAGCTGATATTGGGAAAATATTTAGAAAACAGAAGTTTGCAATATAATGAAGATTCAAGTCCAAAATATTTTAAAACCACAAAATTGCCTAATCCTTTTTCAGGTTAATTTTTTTTTCTTTCCTTTTCTTTTCCCCCCCTGATTCCACTATCCCCCTCCCCCAAATCCAGGTAATACAGGATTTATTTTTCAACATTTCACATGCTATATAATTAGTGTTTTCCTCACAATTACACTTTTAGATAACATATAGTTTATACATATCACATATGAATAATTTTAAAACTCTTTTATCTTTAATCAAACCATTTTTAAAACTTATTTTAAAAATACATTTTAAAAATTAGGTTGCCTGCCCCTAAATTTGGCTACCACCCACCTTGGTCTAAATTTTCTCAGTGGCCACTAAATAATACTGGCTTACTGTTGGAAAGGAGGAAAATCAAAGGGGGAAGAAAAATAAAATCCATTATGGCACGTAAGGACACAGCTGGATGGAACCCTGAATTGGAACGTTCAACCCCCACAATTTCTTGTTGCAACTCCCATTTGTATTCCCTCTCCCCATCCTCAAAAATTAAAATAGTTCTGCAGAAGAGTATGTTGGGTTATGTCTAACACATAGCTCAAATGCTGCTGGGGTGGGGTGGGGAGGAACAGGTTAGAGGAGGAATCGACTTCAAAAGTAGGTAAATGAAATTGTGCCCTGATGAACTGAGAATGTGTAAAATTAAGAAAATGGGACTATTTGAAGTAGTTGAAAGAAAGTGAAATCACTCTAACTAATCCTGTTAATTATCTACTTCTAAAATATTCAAGTTGCGTAAGGGCAGGGAATGAATACTGTTATCTCTTCTGCTCTTTTACACATAAAAACCAATAGTTGGAATTTTTCCTGGCATGGAGACAATGTTTATGTTCATATTTAACGATAGCTTATTCTATTTACTGAAATCTGATCCATGAATCAACCAGCAAACACACTTGATCTGAGTTCTCAAAGCTGATAGACTGTTCTATGTTAACTAAATAGTCCCTATGACTGATTGCTTGGCGACCATTTGAAGTTATAATGGGCCCACCAAAAGCTATTTATGACCTGATAGCCACATGTGCACACACAGAGTCCTAAAATTGCATTTTGGGCATTTGATAACTGGATCACCTTTATGGTTGTTTGCAATGTCCCATGGTCACACAATTTAAATTTTTAATTTTTTGCTAATTTTTGGCATTTAATTCCAGTTTCCAGTAAAAAAAATCACCCATTGGGTAAAATTGATTCACTAACCATAAAATTTGCTTAATGACTGCAACATTCATTTAACAACCACAACAATCAGGTGCAGTGATATAATGGCCTCAGCAACTTTGAACCATAATTCCAGTCTCGGTTACCATTGTTATGTCAAGGACTATCTATAAGATCGTCCAATTATGCTCTTTACAGCAATGGACAGGAAAACACAGAATCCTCCAAGACAGCCTTCACATTCTAGACATCTTCTAGATCAGTGTTTGACATATTTTAAGATGGACATCAACATCTAAAATGTTATTTAGATAATGAAAAGTAGCATTTCACTCGGCCTCATCTTTGTTTTTATTTTTAATGGGTCTCTTTGTATCTCCATCTTGCTGCCAGAATACAACTTGCAACAAATACAAAAATTATGTTCCCTATCTAGAACCATATACGATCCGAGTTCTGTTATTGCAGAATTGGTTTCAAGTCCCATTTCACAGAAGAAATTCCAAGGGTTCTAAAGGCTTTTTGCTTCTTCTGAATGGACTGGACCTCTGAACCAGTCCAAAAGCTTCAAGTTGTAAATACATGATATACATTCCTCTCTTCTGCAATGGCCACCATCATCAACATAAAAACCAAAATATAAGTTATCCTCCCCCTCTCTGTTTCAGTTCAAATGTGATTCCTCCCACTATAGGACGCAACTGCTCACCCATGAATGTGAAAAACACTGAAACATTGGACTGGTGCATTTATTATTTTTTGAAAGCAGAAATAAGTACTTCAGGAAAGGAAAAAATCATTTTTAAAAAATCTGTTAAGTTTCATATTGAGAACATTATATATATCAAGGGCTATAATCCTTATGTCACTGAGCAATACCTATAACAGGAGAAGAATAGAACTTGAGAAAATCTGGGAAGATGCAATAAAAGATTTCATTATTATTTTAAAGTGGGCACTTGTGACTGTCTTGGGGTAATGGAAGCTACCAAGTCACTACCCTCACTGTGGGTGTGGCAGGAGTGTCACCCTCCGAGAGTTGCAGAGAGGGCTTGAAGATCTCCAGGTTTCTGTGCTGTTGTTCAATTGTAAGAAAAACCAGCAGTATTGTTATCATTACTTTACCACTTCTTTACCTTTGCAGTGTTAAAGAAAAGGGAGAAGAGGCATGCAAGGAGCTGCTGGAGACATATCATTCCTGCTTGCGGGCACTGGGCATAGCTCACCCGGATCTAAAAAATGGTCCCTAGGTGAGTGTCCCTATGTTGTTTGGACTTCGGAGGTAAAAGGATTGAGGGCAGCATTCAGTGGGAACATGGCAAGTTGCAATACAGAATAGCTGGGCTATGGGGAATTTACTAAGAGGGAATGTGCAGCAATTGTATTATCTTAGAGGAAAGAATTTGACTGTTTTCATTTTATTTAAAAGACAAAAGGCATGTAGAAGTGTAGCAGTTATTGCAATAAAATTTTATCCCCTGACTCCATTCTTAAATGCAAGCTTCCATATCATCAGGGTGCTTAACAGGGAAAACAAGCCATAGACTGGATAGGAATATCGGGATTGTGGGAAGAATGAGAATCTCTGTTAGTAGGGAGTTTCTGAAGATAAATAGTATTGTCACTAGTGGGGAGTTCTTAACACAGGAGACTTGCTTGACTCCACACATATTTTCTACACAGGAAGATAAAAAGAGAGGCAAAAGCTTCATCAAGTAGATTTATGCAAGACAATATGTAGTAAAGACATATGGCTCCTGCAAGAGAAAACATTAGCAATCTTTAATCCAAGCTCAGATATTGATACAAGAGGCCCCCAAAACTATAGGAGGAAATATTCTTCCTAAATAATTTGGTTACCAAATACAGTTGCTGTGTTCAAATAAACCACATGTATTATGTGATGACCCAATTTGGACAACACTGGAAATCAATGGTTGGATTCCCACCATATACTGATTATGCTGATATACTGATTATAAGCCACCATACTCCATTTTACCCTAGTTTGTAGTGTGAATCCAATTGTTTGCTGGCAGTTCTCCCCCACCCCACCCATTTGTCAGGAAAGCTATGGCTTAGCCCAAGGGAAGAAGCATTATATCCCACAGCAATGGGAAGATACATCTACATTACTCTATGATTTTCTATTATCTTTACAGTCTCCAAATCACTGGGACCCAAAGCCAGCCATGTTTCCTTTCCCGTAGGGACTCAAGAATGCTCAACCAACAGAAAGCTCAGCACTGATGCATCATTCTCAGCAGGCACTACAGAAGGAGTTCCCAACTTCAATAAAGCCCCTGTATTTCATTCTGACTGGACATGTTAAATTACTGAGTCATTGCTCTTTATTCATTTGGAAGTCTTCTGATTTTCCATAAATGGCATAATGTTCCCAGATTTTTGGGACCCTCACCTTTGCCATATTTGCTTTGTGCAGTAGCACTCAAGGAAAAATAAATCCACAGAAGAGTTTTACATTAAACAGCCTGCTGGAGCCATCCCATGATCGGGCATCCTTCAGAATCACCACTTCCACCATCCCTGGGACATCCTGGATACTGCGCTTCCAAACAATTCAGATCTCAGATGACATTCCACCTTGGATCCTGAGAATCAGAAGTATCCCTCTTCCAAAAATAGTAATTAAAAATAAAGACAAGGAAAATGAAAATCAGCCTCCTTGGATCATTTGCAGAAAGTCAATAGATATCAAGTGAGCAAAAATGGAAGAGATTCCAGAAATTTCTCCTTCCTGTTTGCTTTCTAGAATGAAACTAGGTTGGGATCGTCTATCCCCCCCCCCCCCCCCGGGTACATGTCATATATTCAGCAGGCCTCACAAATTCCCTTCATCTTCTGGTCTTACCCAATTCCATCTGAATAATTCCCTGGCACAACTGTGTACACCCTCTTTTGGATTCTAGTAAGCCAAAAGCATCCATGCTAGAGCAGCAAAATAGCCTCTCATCCAGCAACCTGGTTACATTCAATTTCCTGTGGCATGCCCATTGGCTGGATTCAAGAGAAATCTTCCTCTCTTTCAGCCCTTTTCTCCCTCTGATGTCTGCTGGATATCTGCTGTATTTAACATACAAATTTATAGAGGACAAATAAATCCCCTTGCAACGAAGGTCAATGCTATCACTTTATCCTGCTGAACGGAATCTCACAGCTTAATTTTGCACTGTTTAAGTAGATATTTCCTCAGTGCTCCCTGCTCCAAATCAAATTTGTAGGAGTCTTCCTTTTGCTTTAACCCATCTATCTTATCTACAAGTCACTAACTGGGCCCATAGTTTCAAACATAGGTAGAGCATAAGAAGACACTTACAATGCTTCATATACTCCCAGACTCAAAGGGAAATGTCTAGAACCATGGCAATCTGCCTACATTTCTCACATAAAACATGCCCTGCTCCAAAAGTTTCAAATGCACAACAGAGAGAGACAAATGTGCAGTGTTGGGATACTTAGAACTACAGTGGTTAGGGGACAATTTCATTTTGTTCCATTTCAGGGGCAAGAGCAGATGCCAGAGGAACTTAGTATAAACTACAATCTTTATTACAAGAGACAAAGAATCGAACGTGGAGGCCAGCCTGCCCGCCTGCCTGCCTCCAGGGGCAGGGTTTTATATAAAGCTTTACTGAGAAAAGAATAATAAAGTCCTTGGCCACTCTCAATGGCAGGGATATCAGCCAAAGTATCACCTGTTGTTCCCCCTTCTTGCCCCCCTCCACCTTGCCACCATCACCAAAAGAACATGGGGTATTGAGTAGGGAATGTCACCCACTCCTGCTCTCCCCCCCACCCCTTCAAAAGGAAACTTCCTTTAGATCCCAAGCTATTCAGCCTCATGGAAATGAAAGCATTTTCATGGTAGGGAAAAAAGAAAAAAAAAATACCGTATACTTTTTCCAAGTGATGCTGAAAGTCCTTTCAAATTAAAGGGGAATATAAAAGCACCACGTGGCTGGGTTTAACCCTTCTTTCCCCCAATTATGCCACCCAAGGTCAACCCCACACAAGCTTGCAAAGCTAGAACTCCCTGCCATAGCAGAGTTGTAATCCTAACACCAGGAGTGGCTGAAGAGCACCCATGCTAGGGGAGGGCAAGGGAGCTGGGCACTGCTCTTCTAATCTCGCCGTAGGTTTTTTAACCGCTCCTCCAAATCGGCATCTGCGTCGGCAAGGGCTGCTGAGGCTTCAGCTTTCTTTCCTCCGGCCACGCTCAGAGAACCACCCGTGGAAGGCAAATCTGCAAGGAAGAGAATGAAGTCTGCAACAACCCAATAATACCGTTCCCCATCCATTCCCAGTTCTCTCTGCCCAAGGCTGTAGCATCAGGATTACTATAGATGTAGGGTTCATGCATCATACTTATCACAGATAGGTTAACTGTGGGCAAAATGGGCAAAGTTGCACATATCACATTATATGATTAACCATAGCATTAATCACACTTATGGATGACCTCTGGCAAGTGCAGGATGAAGATGATGCATCTTTGCTCCCCTTATCTCTCAGCAGCCTTTGATATTGATTATTGGTCTTGGTGCTAAGGGCTGGGAGCAGGGGCATGGTGTGCTGATTGTCCTTCCAGACACCAGTTCCATATAGAATTGATGAGTGGGAAAAAGTCTTACCTTAACACTCTCCCTACTCCTGTTTTAACAACTAAACAAAGGCTGGATGAAGTAATTCAGCAGAACGGGGTAAGGTGTCATCAATATGCTAATGTTACTGGCAAGGTGGCGCAGTGGTTAGAGTGTAGTGGTTAGAGTGCAGTACTGCAAGCTACTTCAGCTGACTGCTAGTGCAGTTCAGCAGTTCAAATCTCACTGGCTCAAGGTTGACTCAACCCTCCATCCTTCTAAGGAGGGTAAAATGATGACACTGATTGTTGGGGGCAATATCCTGACTCTGTAAAACCGCTTAGAGAGGGCTGAAGCAGTATATAAGTCTAAGTGCTATTCCTATTGCTATACCCAGCTTTATATCTCCATTCCTGGACAACCAAGTAATCCTGGGAGAGGTCCTGTCTCAGTGTCAAGAAAGTGCTGGGGATCTGGATGGGGAAGAACAGGCTTCAGCTTAACTTGAGCAAGATTGAGTTGCTTTGGATTTTAGGGCTTCCTGGATCCAATGTTTTCTCCAGCTTGGGTCTGTATGGGGTTGCAGTACCTCAAACAGAACTTGTAAGAAATCAGGGTGTCCTCTTGGATTCACATCTCCAATTCAAGGAGCAATGGAAGGCATGGCCAAGAAAGCTTTTCTAAAATTTTGTTTAATTCACCAACTGTGCCCTTTCCTGAACCAGGAGGTTCTCTCACAGTCACACATGCCTTGGTCACCTCCCAAATAGATTCAAATAAAGCTTGAAAACCTTTGAGCAGAATTGCTTCCTGTTCTGAACAGATTGGGGGCCAATGCACTTTACTAGTGACTTTTGCACACATTAGAGCTACCCTAAAAGCTCAATTTCCTGCTCTGCCTGGACAAGCTGATTAATCCAAGGAAGTAGGATAGAAAATCCAGAAGCTATAAGATAGGGCTGGACTGTGCATACATGGACAAGACAGAACCCCATAGCACCACCATTTGAATTGTCAATTTTTAAAATAAATCTCCTCTATGTACTTTCAGTGTCTTCTTTCAACACAGATACCAATCTATTTTATTCTGGTCTTTTTAATAAAAGCAACCAGGACCACATTTTCTACAATTAATTTTATAATTAAGATGGGACATTCATTCCAAAGGGGACCACTGCATTTCTCAAGGGTTTCCATTTAACTTCAGTTAAAATTGCATTACTTAGGGCAAATTTCTGAAGTTGTAGTATTATGGTGATTCGGGAGTTACAGTATACAAAGTTTAAGAGTCCCAGTCTTACTGGCAATGTTACCACTATGTATTTTTAATCTTTGTTGAAATACCAGTTTTTAAATTATGTGTTGGAACGCTATTAACTGTTGAATATTTTTCTGTTATTTTTATTTGTCTGTGTAGAGTGACCATATCCCATCTTGTTTTAGGTGTATTGGATTTTTATGATAATATATTGTGAGCTAGCCAGTGTCAATTGGATATAAATAATGATAATTTTACCCACCTAGGATTTACAAGAATCATGTGGGCTGTTTCTTTCCTATTTATTTATTTATTCAGTCATTCAATTTCTAAGGCTGCTGAATCACAAAGTGGATCAAGTGCCTTTTCCCTTGCTATACTTCTTTCCTAATGTTCATTTCATGCAAATACTTACTTGACAGCTCATCGGTCAAAGTCAGACCTAGCTCATCCAACACCTGAGAGACAACAGCATCGCTGTGAATGGAAAATAAGAACACGAAATGCACTTATTTGCATGGCTAATCCACCACTTCCCTTAACTGAATCTCAATTCTTATCTCAACTTCAGGCTGAATTAAAAGGTTTGGCTTTATCGTACACAGATTTCTGGATTTCAGGGAGGAATTTGAAGGTCAAAAAGTTATCACTTGCCACCACTTAGATGCCAAACTTTCTCTTCAATATGCAACCCATATGAGCTTTCCTGTCCTCAATGCTAATTACCTTTCCTCCTCATCCTCTTCATCTCCCATCGCATCATCAATGGCATCATTCATCATCTCTTCCTTCATTTCCATGATCTCTGACTGCTTTTCAAACTCCATCATGATCTTCTGAATCTGAGGCAACTTGAGCTAAACGAAGCAAGAAGTAACACTGTTACAAAATCTCAGAAAAGAAAACAAACCATTACTTGCTTTTCACCTTTTCAAAAGGAACGGAAAGGAATATTTTATTAGTATATTCATATCATTGCCAATTTCACAAAAAGTGACCATAGGAGACTTACAAGCAGAAAAGTTAAAACAGTATTGCAATTTTTTTAATAACAAAACATAATAAGCCTTCCAAGACAGGAGGAGGACAACCATCATCTGGCCTCATTCACCATTTTACAGGCTCATCACAGAACCCCAGGGTTGATGGAAGAAACACCTTTTCAAAGCTCTCTGGAAAATTAACAGTGATGGGGCTAATCTCACCATGTGGGAAGTGATATTATAGAGGGAAAAATCTGAAGTAGAAAAGGCATTTCTCCTAGGTCCCGTCAGATGGAACTCCTTAGCAGATAGGACCCAGAGCATACCTCTTCTGCTCGACCTGATGGGATGGATAGAAGAGATATTCCCTCAAATAACTGTGATCCTGTGCCAATGTAGGCATTTAAAGGTAAAAAAGGGCATCCTAAATTGCACCAAGAAGATTACACTCTGTTCCATAAGCCATTTTAAGACACCCACATAACAGTCCACACAAAGCTGCTATTTGCATCAAATAAAGCTTCCAGATGCTCTTCAAGGTCAGCTGCATGTAGACTGCATTGAAAACTATTCTGGAGGTGATCAGGGGATGATGAGCAACAGCGAGTAGAGTGACATCACTAGAATAGCAGATTACTATTACTAAGAGATTGAATGTTCTTTTTTTAAAGTATTAATTGACCAAGTGATAGTGAGAATAATTCGCAACAGATTGCATCCAGTCCGGAGAATCCTGTTGGAAAAACAATTCAGTTGCTGAACTGAAAAATAGTATCTATAAACTGTTACGATACCTTAAGTGGCACATTCTTTGCATTAGTCAATTTAAAAAATGCTTCTGTGCCTAGCCACTCATAAGGTATCACCATTGTCTAGTTCTTCCCATTTAGCAGTTCCAATTTCATTCCCTTTCTGAAAAACAAACAAAACAGATTTTGCAAGTAGTCCTCATTTAGCAACCACAACTGGTTGCCAACAGCTCAGTGGTTAAATGAAGTGATCAATAAAAAAGCTACCACTATATTTATGATCTCATATTCATTTTCCTTTGCTGTATAGACCTGCAAGTCATAAATGAGAGAACTGCAAAATTATTTCTTCATCGGTCTTAACTGCAAATGGTCACAAAAATGAAGCAGTCGCTAAACAAGCACTACATGCAATATCTATTCAACATCCCACACATACTATTAAAAGAAATAGCTTTTAGAAAGCTGTCTTTTCTCAAGTCGAATTATTTGGATTCCTAGTTCCAGATGCCTAATCTAACTGGCATTGGCTCCCCAGAAGTTTAGGCAAATCAATTTTAAAGTGGGACCTTCTGAATGCAACCAGATGCCCGGTCAGTGAATATGATATAGACTCAAAAGGAGCAGTTCAAAAAAACTTCTGCAGCTTACCCACCTGTCTGTTCATGGTAGCCATGGCTTTGGTGACACCTTTCATTGCCTGAGCCATGGAGTTGTTTGATTTGAGTGTCTGTATCTTAAGGGACACAGCCTGGATGTTAGCCCTCATCATGATGAATTTCTTGACATAGCGCCTTGTTCGCACCAGATCTTTAGCCATGATTTTCACAGCATCCTAAAATGAGAGAACCAGGTTAGAAAGCAGATACATAGATTTTCTTCTGGTGGCTTTCAAAAACCATATTTGTCTTTTCTTTCCAAACTCACCATCTGCCCTTGCTTGGCCATTTTCTTGATGTCAGCAATGATCTTTTTTTCCTGGGTCTCCAGCTTCTGCCGCTCACGGTCTAATTCTCGCATGGCACGGTTCAGAGCCCGCTGATTTTGCCGTAGCATCTCCTCTGGGGTCTTCCGGCGCCCAAACAATAGATCCATCCTGACAGAAAATGAGTCAACCTACAACTCTTGAGAAAAAGGAAGATGCGGAAATATAAAACACATAGGAGCAAAGTATCTTTGTATAAAAATTACAAGGTTTGGCCAATATATCAAGAAACTCTAATTTATTAAAATATATAGACAAAGATCAAAGAAATCCCCAATCAGATCACTAAAACTACATTCAAAGTTTCATGATAAATACACTGCATTTCAGAGTGAGAACAACCTAGACCTAGAGAATGAAGATAGAAAACATTCACTGTTCTGGGAGACAAACAATTCTCTCTGTGTATGTGTTACTTCTATCATTGGGCAGCAAGCTTAAGCCAGAGTTTTTTGCTGCCATTTTTATATCAATTTTTCTTATTTCTCTAACTATGCATCAAAAAGTCTACAGAACTACAAAGAAACCTCTATTCACTCTTCAAACCTTGTGTTATATTGTATTGTATTACATTGTATTTTATACCATATGAATTATGTTAAAGTGTATTTTATTACAATTTACTTCAGTTGTTCTCAATATTTTCTTCACCACAGATCCCCTTTACATATACCTTCTGTGGCCATGGACCATGGTCATGGACTCCATTAGACTTAACTCAAGATTTAAATCATAACATTTATTCAACCCTTCACAGACCCCCCTTTGATGACATTGCGCCCTCCCCCAAGGGTCTACAGTCCATAGGTTGAGAATCACCGCTCTACATTATACACTCTTCAGTATCTGATTTACTATCCATAACTCATTCTTCTCTGTAGTTTGCTGCCTGGTGAACACAGTAGAACTGTTATAAACTGAGCAAATAAAAATGATCCAAATTAAGAGAAATCATTTATATTGTAAGAAAGTAGGCAGAAGAATGAGATGCCAAATCCATCTTAAATTCCTGGCTAATTCAACCAGACTTATATTTTGTTATGTTTTGAAATGCACTATTATTTAGAGAACAACCTACACTTTTGAAGGAAGATCCCTCTACAGCAATGGGTCACTAATCCATATCAGTGCCAACTCCAAAACATAATCTGAATATGTGTATACCTACTGTTACTTCTGTCAGAGAGATCAAAAAATGGGGCAGAGCTTGTTTAGTTACAAGCAAAAAATGAAAATGCAATCCTTCCCTAAGAAACAAAACAACTTTTGTTGTTTCAGAGCACCTTTCTCAATCCAGACACCCTCCAAAGGTATGAACATGTTAAATAAGGATTCTTGGTGGTAAAGCCCACTCATCTATATTCAGGTTGGGCAAGGACCAAACTTCCAATAATTTATCATATTTCTGTATAAGTAATGGCCTCTATGTGTATTGTACTCAAGCCTAGAATAGAGCCATTATAGTGAAATGATGGAACAGTTCAAATGGAATTGTATTTTTAATGATTCTCATTGAGTTCTAAAGACCAGAATTCACAATCTTGGAAATATTGAGAATCTGCCTGTCATAAATTAGATAGCAATAGATATGGGTTAAAAGGCTCGGTGATTGAGTTAAAATAATGTAAATATATAAATCTAACAAAGATCTGTTATAATTACTCTCTTTTCCTTCCCAGAGAAATATATTTAATATACAGTTATCTAGGTAAAGGCTTTGGGTTAAGAGAGTTATAACCCTCATGGGGGGGGGGACCCTCAGGTGTTCTAATATGGCTGAAATACAACACCCAGTCATTATTAGATGAGCTAGAAAAGACTAGTGAGAGTTGTTCAGCAACTTTCAGCTGGCTACATCTTTGTCATACAGAATATCCACCAAAATAAATTACTGTACAAGCCATACTAATAATAATTATTAAAGATTGTGACTTGCCAACCAGACAGTCTCAAATCTTTCAACTGTCTTCAGAAACTGTTTTAACAAAAAAAGCTAGCACCATCATTTACACATCAATAGGATAAGCACCAGCTAATCCATCATAGACAAAACAAAGAATTATAAAGAGAATCAAACCAAATCAATTTCTCCTTGGACCAAAACAAATTTAAACATATGAAGCCGCCTTGGCTAAGAAGCTCATGACCACAAATATTGAGCTATGTTACTTTAACAGGCTGCGGGTTTATTTTTCAGAGACAATAGGGACCGAGTGGCATATAAATGTAATAAATTATTATAATGAACTACCGGAGTATTGAAAAACACCCTTCCTTACCCAACAGTTAGCATATGCATTCAATACATCATTCCAATCCAATACCAGTCACAAAGACATCCAATGCAACAAACGAATGGAAACCTTTAATCTTCCAGAACCAGCCAATACTCCGGAGGTGCTCTCCCACCCACCCCTCTTCATCACTGGTGATGATAGGAGAGAGAGTCCGTCACAGCCGAAGGACAGACTAGATGAGCTTACTTTATAGCAAAAATAGGACAAGCAATATAAAACGAAGAGGCAAAGTTGCCTAAACCAGGGGTCTCCAACCTTGGCAACTTTAAGCCTGGAGGACTTCAAATCCCAGAATTCCCCAGCCAGCTTTGCATTCCAGCCAGCATTCAGCTTTGCTGGCTGGGGAATTCTGGGAGTTGAAGTTCTCCAGGCTTAAAGTTGCCAAGGTTGGAGGCCCCTGGCCTAGATGACGCAGGTCTGTGCCTAAATTATAGGGCGGTGATGGTGGGCGGCAGGGAGTACTAGCAAAGGGAAAAGCGCAAACACAATTCTAAATAGATATAATTTTAATAGGAATACGGTGGAAAAGAGGAGGAAAGGCAGGAAAGGATTCTTCTCCCCCCCCCCCCACATTAAAAGCTTCCGATACCTCAGTCCGAACCTTTCCCCGCTCCCCCAGCCCCGGCAACAATTTACCGAGCAGACACCTAACACCGTCGCTTCACCTCGATATTTCCTCTACGCTCTTCTTCCGCCTCAGCCCACTGACGTCACGGGAGTGGCATTTTTAACGTCATGGTCACGCGGCTTGGAGAAACCCGAAGGCCTCCCTGATTTGCGCAGAGGATGGGAGGCGGGGCCGCAACCGGAAATTAGATACAGAGACAGTTGAAAGGGAAATGAACGGTAGATTAAAGTCTTGTCTGCCCTTGTTGGTACTTCCGGGAAATTTTACGTGCCAACTGTGTTAAGAGATCTTTCAAAAGTACAGAGAAGACTTTTCTTCCTCCACCCCCCCCCCACACACATGGTTTCCATAGTTTCTATTCCAAACTGTCCACCAGAGGCGAATGTGAGCCGTGTTCCAAAAAAAATGCTACTTTTAATCATCATCATTCTTGGTCAGAAGTTGGGTATTAGCCAGTTTGATGTATTGATTTTCAAGGAAGAAGGCAACAACAACAACGTTTCTGAAATCCTGCCAAGAAAATTGCAAGGACTTCTCCAGGCAGCTGCCAGGAGTCAAGACTGACTTGAAGGCATTCCCCCCCCCCAAAAAAAATAAATAAATCGGTACTATCATCGATGAACTGCTTTTTGAAAGAGAATGTAAAAGCCTTGGTATTTGTCCCATTGGTATTCACATTGAGCATATGTTCAGTAAGAGCTTATGTAGTGACTTAAAGAACATATGGTAGTATGTAATACAAATCCAACTGGATCCAGACTTTTCAGAGGAATGGGATTTGGAAATGCAAGTATAGTAGTGTATGGGGATATAGGAATTTAAAAGAAGCTGTCGCTCAGCTTTAATAGCAGCAATAAAAATGAAATCACAAATCAGCAAGCTTAATTTGATTTTTTTTTTTTAAACTGAATAACTTACAACCTTTTCTGAGAGGCTAATATGCAATTTTGTTGATATCTTAGTATGGCTAATTACACCAAAATACGGGGCCATAAAATAGTAATTCAGTATTATAACATTTCTTTAAAAATTAGTTCTTTTTTTTTCAGAAATAGATTGGGTGAAATGATTGGTTTAAAATTGTGTTTCTATGGTTGAAGGAAAGCCAAAACTATTACATGTTGAAGACCTGAATTTTAAAAAAATGGCACCAAAAATATTTGGAAGGTTTGAAGATAGCAATTTATTCTTATTCTTTGGACCTTCATGCTACCGGTATTAATCTTCAACTTTTGTAGTTTGGAGATTTAACATCTCCAAATTCAGCAGATAAGGACAGGCAGCCTAGAATAAAACCAAAGTTTAACACTTTTTCAAACTACGCCAGTGCTTAGCCATAGATTGGACTAGATAACTACTGTTTGCAAATGAACATTCCACTTCCTCTATATGAAAATTTTGCTGTGCACCCTGCTGCACATCTTTTTGCTCCAATCACCTACAAAGTTGTTCCTGTCGACTTTGCATGCTAATATGTGTTGATTTTTCTGACACAAATACTTTTGCCACAATATATTTATTAAGACTTCAAGGCACAAAATTGGCTAAATTTGCAGAGCTAGGCCAGGATTCTTTTGATATTGTTTTGTTCCACAAATCAGTGAGGTAAAATGATATGAAACCCAGTCATTTTAACCCAGAAATTTCATTTCATGTGATAGTTAACTATATAAAAACGTGTTCTATGGTAGCAAGTCTTCACCGAGTTTAAAAAAAGGTAAGCAGGCTTAAATGTAGTTCGTACTTGAAAACAAACTCTGATTTTTTTAAAAAAAGGTAAACCACCTCCATGATGCTGTCAATATTACATGGATTTGCCCATAACATCACTTCTTTGGGCTGAAATTTCTGTTAACTATGCAAAAGGACAGGAATGTTGTTTTTGAGTCATTCCTTCACTTGGCCAGAGAACAAAGTGATCAGTGGAACATTTATCATTTACTGTACATTGCAGGTCTGCTCATAGCCAAAAAGCACATCACATTATTTTGGAGGAATCAAAAAAGAAAGTAATTTAACAACCCCCACCTTGTATTCAGGACTTATTTCCCTTGACCTCTGTGTTTTTAAGATTATATTTCTTAAAAAACACTGCATTAAAAATATACTGTGATAGCACAATATGGTTTGGATAGATAACATTTCTGGTTCCATCCTTGCCACTGCCAATTTTTTTTTTTTTTAATATGCCAGACTACAACTCTTCCAGTCAGCTATATTGGCAGCTGTGCTGGCTAGAGATGGTGGGAAATGAAATCTCAACTGCATCAGTCAGTCAGGCCAGGATTACGCATAAGCATACACGTTCATAAATGCAGAGACCCAGTATGTTTAAATAACAGTTGGTTCAAGCCAAGGATTCATGATGCACATAAGCAGAGTGATCTCATTAGACAGCATGAACAGGAGACAATGGAGTGTTTTGTATGACTGTTAGCACAAAATGCCCCAAGAATGATGTAAGAGCTAAACAGAAGCTTCTGAGAATCTTGAAGCAAGGTGGTGATGACAGCTAACCTTCCCTATTGTTTTTTTTGGCTCCTAGCATGTGCCATTAAGACACATGCCTTTTACTATCACAACCAAGCAATAAAAATGACAAATGAAAGAGGGGAAGGATGGGGAAGAGATGGAAAAGTAGCAATTCTGTTTTACTACCAGCAATTAAGCACCAGTGCTTTATTATGGTCATGGCCTATTTGTTACAGATACTCCAGGGCTAAATAGACAAGCATGTTTCAGTCTGTAAATTATTTTTATAGGCTTAGAAGTCTCTGCCTTTCTGCAATCCTGAATCATTAACTATTCCCAGATGATCACACTTCTAAATTAGTTGAAACAGAATTTGTAGTGGTTCATGCAGGAAAAGGTTATAAATTTTCAGATCCACTGCCCACACCTTCATAACAGAAGCATAGAAACTTCATGGACACAAATACTCAGGATTGTCTGTGGATTTCATTCAGCTACTAGTATACCACCATGAAAAATGGGAATGTATCATACTATCTTTTCATTTGAACAGTTTTAGAAACAGCCTGTATTGAAAGGAAAGAAAGTTGAGAAGACTCGTTTTCTAAAGTATGTGCTTCTGAAAATGACATTTGATGGCATAGCATGCAGTTGCAAAATGCATCCAATCCAGATGCTGCAAGGCACCATGTATTTATTCCATAAATAGCACCAGTAATCCTTAACTTTCAACAATTGAGTCTAAAATTTCTGTTGTTAAAGACATTTGTTAAGTGAGTTTTGCCACATTTTATGACCTATGACCAGTTAATTGAGTCCCTGTAGTTGTTAATAGCAAGGTTGTTTAGTGAAACTATTGATTTTGCTTGTCAGGAAGTCGGAAAAGGGGATCACATGACCCCAGGACATATGAACTAGTTACCAAGCATATGAATTTTGATCATGTGACCATAGGGATGCTACAATGGTGTTAAAGTCATGTCACTTTTTCAGTGTCATCGTAACTTTGATGGTCACTAAACAAACTACCATTAGTTGAGGACTACCTCTACATTAGAATATTTCATTAACATATTGTTAAGAGTTTAAAAGAACAATTCTCAAAATGTAGGGAGGAGGGAACTGGGAAATGTTAACATGTACAAGGCTGCTAAACAGAACTCTTTTATTAGTAGATTTTCTTACAACCTCCTTTCTTCTTTGTATATACAGACACTGAATATATATTTGTATAGTGTACTGATGACTTTCCTTTCTGAATTTGGGAGGTCAAGGAAGGCTATGATACATTTAGTTTTGCGTAAAAACTCCTATCAGCTTCTCTCAAATTCTAGTAAAAAGTGCAACCTATCACATCAATTGTAGCAATGACCCAGATCAGGTTAAGCTAACAGCACAGCTACACTAGATGTATATGCTTAGAACAAATAGGTAGTATCACTAATTGGTAGGAAAATGCAATTTTCTAGAGGCAGTTTGTGAAATGGATTTTATCAGCAAAGCAGAATTTATTATGGTGGAAGGTCAGAATCTTTGTTAGATCCTACATCATAGAACAGTCATAAAATCAATTCTGCTCTAACGGCTATACTGAGATATCCAAATATGCAGGCAGAGTATTCTGTATCAATTGTGGCAACTGTACTTCTATATGGGGGAAATGTGTCTAACTAGTATGCCAAAGTCAACTGTCAAAATGTTCCCATCACTTCTTCAGGACTCACCTCCAGTTTCTTCCTTCTGTTTCTCAGGATGGCACAGAATATTACTGTGACCACTGTCAATATCAATACATATCACTTTCCTCTGTCCACTCCACCCCTGCACCAACCAGGGAAGAAGGAAGCAGAAAATGAAAGGCAAGGGGGCAAATTGAATGTGCTAACATTCCCCTTTAATAACCCGACACACTAGAATTACAGTGGCTTTATGTTGGCCAGGGATTTGCAGGAGTCACTGGAGAGGCAGAGTAGAGTTCATTGCTGGGCAGGCCCTGGTTGACAACAATAGGATCAGTAGTGTCCCTGTTACTTTTATTACTACTACTATTAGCATTGGTGGGTTTGATGGTGATGGTGGTGGCTTTATTAGTTTTTCCTTAAAAACCAGACCCCAAGTGAGTTGATCCTAGAAGAAATATCCCAGGCCTGGCCAAGCCCCTCCCCCTTGAGCCACAATGCCTGGGGCGGAGTGAAGGCAGCTGAGCACCCTGCTCCAGCCTTCCACCAGTCCTCAAGAGCCTCCCCCATTTAATAAATAGTTACGGTCAGAAGCCGCAGTGCCCAGCAGGAGAGGAAAGTGGCCTGCAGATCTCGCAGCTGAATAACACTGCATTTGCAGGAAGGAATGCCAGAGCACATAGGGAGCCTTCTGTTCTTAGCAGCAAAACCACAGCTCCCAGAAAGACCGATGGGGTCCCACACAGTCAGGAACAGGTGGCTACCCCAACACAAGGAGTGAGACAAAGAAGCAGCAGTAACCTCAGCCCTCACCCCACAGCAGCAGAGAGAGAGCAGTGAGGGAGGTACAAGGATCTGGTGAGAAGGTGGCTGCTGAAGCTCCAGGCTGGCAGGGGGCAGTAGGGTGAGCAGTTGGGGAGAAAAGGGGAGAAAAAAGATGGAAAGGACCCCCTGCCATTTCTGACTCCTGTGCCCCCTTGAAGACAGCGGTGTTGGCCGAGTCCCTTTAAAGAGCTAGAAGGGAGATGAGGGGAGGGAAGGGGGAGCAAGTTTGTGCCCGGAGCCAGTCAGTTTTATTTGAGGCAGCGCTCAAAGTAGGTGGAACCAATATATCCACCCCGCATCGAGCGCTGGACATTCTGCTCAAACAGGCGTCTGTTGTTCTGGAGTACTTCAGCAGCCTCTTTGTTCAAGGGATCTTCAGGGTTTGGCTCCTAGAGAGGTAAGAAAACACCATTAAATGCCAGGGTTTTGTGGTTAAAGACTTTCATGTACAAGGAGTCCATTTTAATCACAATGAAGAATAAGCAACAGCATCTTTTTCCCATTTTACTTAGATTCTTTAACTATCTCTTTAAAAAAATCAGTTTTCACCCACTATAATTTGCCCTGTATTTGCCAGCTAGCATAAGCAGTACTGCTGAAGAGCAGACCCTTCCAAAATTATTGGGCTATAAAAGTGAGGGCAGGAGAATTGTACATTAAGACTTGCAAAATTAATGTCAGCCTTACTGGGTAGACCAAACAGAAAGTATCACCAGATAAGTTAATTCTACTTTATTATAAAACTACATTAAAATAATTTTACAAGTTTCAAAAGTATAATTTTCTTGCTAGCACTTTTACAGACTGATAATTTAAGGAGTATCCCTCCTATGGAGATCTTGTTCTGTCCTCTATAAGCAGCTGTGGCTTATGGTTTCTGATTTCTGGTCATTCCCTAGGCAGCTTCTCTTCATCTGATCTTCCAAGGTCATTCTCATTTATCTTTATACCAATCAATCAAAACTGTAAGATGAACCAGAACTCCCAATATATGAGTTACTATTGTAGAATGGATTCCATTATAGAATGGAACTGCTTTTTGGAAAACAATCTCTTTTTGCCAATAGACTAGAAAGTTAAAAACCCAGAGGAATTTTTGTACTACTTCACATAATTTGTGTAAGTCAGGCTGTCAAAAATTCCATTTAATACATTTAAAAATGCATGTATATTGCTTATTTTTGTGGGAAAAAATCTATACACTGCTTGCTCTACTTTATAATAACCTGATTTTAATTATATTTCAATGCTCTATAGATATGCTACAAATAGCCAATTCATCCATCTTCTTTAAAATGATTAAACTTATTTTTGAAGATGAAAACGGACAATATGTTATTAATACAATAGGCTGTTAAGCATTGGTTACACGATAGGTTATGGAATGCCCTTTTCATATAAGACATAAATATTTAGGCCAAGGGGATTTAAATCTAAATCTGTTCGAAACATTCCAAATTATATTTCTCAAATTGAAATGACAAAACTAGAAAAATATTATATTTGATGTAATAATTTAAAATGAATTCTGTTGAATTAATTTTTTGGAATGTAGTCCTAGCATCCCACTTCAAGGATATCCCACAATCACATGGATATTTACTTAGTTCATGAAGAATGTCTAGGTGAATGATTAAAAATTTCATTAACTGGGACATTCTGAATCGTCAAATATATGATGCTATCTTGGAAATGATGTAACTGATGTAACATTCTCCAAACATAGCATTTTAGTTAACAGTATACAAAGATACTGTACTGAAAAACAGAAGGGACAAGATAAAAGGGTTTTGAGATCACGCTTTTGGATAGTATAGAAAAGTTCCATTTCATTGGAAACAAATGCTTTAATTGTGAGTAGTCAGATTTATTCAGAAAAAAACAATATTAGAAAGCTAAAATTTGATTTAAAGCACTCTACTTGAGTGCAAACGTTCTCATATTGGCCACACCCTATAAAATCTTCCAACTGTTTTATTTTGCAGTTATTATCAAGTATAATCTTGTGTACGGGGAAATTCCCCTTCCAACTGATAGACAGAACATCAGATACATCTTCCCAAAATGTAATGATACAAACTTGCTTTTATTTCATTCACAATCCATCTAACCTAGAACACTACAGATTCTTCAGGAGCACACCATGCTTTGCTTATTGTATCATTTCTCCCTGTCAATCTTACATTAATTCTTCCTGCCCAGGTCAAGCAGGAAAATAATGCTCTAGTCTTAGTACCACTGTTTCACACCTCCTTTCCACATATACTTACCAAGAAGAGATACTGCAGGCCATAAATTATAGAGTTTATTGTTAGTACAGGCTTCCAGTCCTCTCTGTGGGTCAGAAAAATAATGAAAAAATGAGCTCAGGCAAGTTTACCCAAATGAAAAATAACAAAATAATATTGATTTAAATTCACATTATTAAAATAAAATAAAATTGTATGAAGAGTGATCCAAATTGAAAATATCCCAATATCCCAAATCCTTAATATCCCAAAGCCTTAAAAATGAAGTCAACAGTTCTTAGACCTTTGAAACATAAGACAGTATTTAATTACATGGAAATGTAATTAAAAAACGACAATATCCCAAGAGTAAAATTTTTGTCAAGCTTCTAAAAGGGTTGTTTTTTTCTTACCCTTTTAATTATGATGGCATAACAGGATTAAAAAAAAACAGAATATACCGTATTTTCCGGCATATAAAACGACTGGGAGTATAAGACGACCCCCGAATTTTCCTGTTAAAATATAGGGTTTGGGCTATACTCGTGGTATAAGACTACCCCTCTTCCAACGCACACCAAATAAAAATTAAAAAAACATCAACTAGCTCACCCACAATGTAAAAGCAGCTGTGCTGGACCCAAAATGGCCCCTGCAACAAGCAGGAACCTGACACAGCCACAAAAAGCCCCCAAAAAACCAACTTTCACACTTTACACACACAAAATTCCACATACAGCTTTGTGAGATTTTGTGTGTTTGTGTAATTAGAGTGAAACACTACAGAAACACACTAAATCTCAGAAAGCTGCAGAAATATTATTTTATTTTAATTTATTTTTATTTCTATATGAAAGCTAAATTTAAAACTTCCTAAACTTTAAATGGCTAGGTCTAAAAAAGAACAACTAAAAAAACCCCAATTAACTATTTTTTTTTAAAGATCCCAAAGGGGGAAAAAACTTACCCAATAGAACAGGGGTCTCCAACCTTGGCAACTTTAAGACTTGTAGACTTCAACTCCCAGAATTCCTCAGCCAGCTTTGTTTTGCTGGCTGAGGAATTCTGGGAGTTGAAGTCCACAACTCCCTGCCTGCTTGATTGCAGGCAGGGAGTTGCTTGCTGATGGAATGGATTCAGGCAAGCGAAGCAAGGTAAGCAGCTAAGGCAGTGGTTCTCAACCTTCCTAATGCCGCGACCCTTTAATACAGTTCCTCATGTTGTGGTGACCCCCAACGATAAAGTTATTCCTAAAACCATCAAAAATATGTGTTTTCCGATGGTCTTAGGCTAGGGGTCCCCAACCTTTTGGACCTCAGGGACCACCAACTTCATAATTTTAAATTTCACGGACCACTAATATGAATCCAGTGCGCCGCTTGCTGAAGCACCTAGATTCCCAGTATGGGATGGGGTCCTTCAGGCACTCTCCCTCCTCTCTGTCTCTCTCTCTCTCTCTCTCTCTCTGTCTCTGTCTCCCATTCTTTCTCTCTCATTCTCTCTTTCTCTCTCTCTCATTTTCGCTTTCTCTCTCTCTCTTTCTCTCCCACTCTTTCTCATTCTCTCTCCCCCCTCTCCCCCCCACTCTCTCATTCTCTTTCCCTCTCCCCCTCTTTCTCATTCTTTCTTTTCCCCACTTTCTCTTTCTCTCCCCTCTCTCATTCTCTTTCTCCCCCCTTTCTCATTCTCTTTCTCTCTCCCACTCTCTCTCATTCTCTTTCTCCTCCCTCTTTCTCTCTTTCTCCCACTCTTTCTTTCTTTCTCTCTCCCCCTTTCTCTCTCTCCCCCCACTTTCTCTTTCTCTCTCCCCCTTTCTCTTTCTCTCTCCCACTCTTTCTCTCTCATTCTCTCTCTCCCCTTTCTCTCTCTCTCCCCACTCTCTCTCGCTCATTCTGATTCTCTCATTCTGATTCTCTTTCATTTTGTCTCTCATTCTGATTCTTTGATTCTCTTTGATTCTGTCTCTTTCTCTGTCTCTCATTCTCTCTCTCTCTCTCTGATTCTGTCTCTTTCTCTCATTCTCTTTCATTCTGTCTTTCTCTCTCTTTCATTCTGTCTCTTTCTGTGTCTCATTCTGATTCTCTCTCTCTCATTCTCTCTTTCATTCTTTGTCTCTTTCTCTCTCTGTCTCATTCTGATTCTCTCTCTTTCTCTCTCATTCTCTCTCTCTCTCATCTCATAGGCCAGCCAGTGTCTTGGGGCTGAGAGGAAGTCAAGCATCTCTCTGAGAGACTGAGGGCCGGAAGAAGTGTGGGAGCGAAGCACTACTTGAACTTGTGCGGCATGAGCATTCGCCTTGGTATATTTGGGCCAGCCGATGGCCAAGGCAGCCCTCATCTCTCTGCTGAAAGTGCAGCATCAGGATTCTGCCTTGGTATATTTGCGGCGCAAGGCAGCCTTCGTTTCCTGCTGCTTGGGACTCAGAGCGGTAAATGGTGACTGGTCCGGGGAGCAGCTGGATTTTGCTCTCCATTGCGGATGCCAGATCGGCCCCCTGCAAGTTCTCGTCTCTCGAGGAGCCCAACCAAAGTTTCCAGCCCCGCTTCAGGGAGCGCTCCTCGAGAGACGAGAGCTTGCAGGGGGCCAATCTGGCATCCGGATTAGAGAGCAAAATCCAGCTGATCTCCGGATCAGACGCCATTTACCACTCTGAGTCCCAGGCAGCAGGAGACGAGGGCTGCTTTGCGCCACTGGCTGGCACAAATATACCAAGGCGGAATGCTGTTGCTGTACAAATGAAAGTAGTGCTTCACTCCTACAGCTTCCAGCCATCGCAAACGCCGCTTCTTCCCGCTTCTGCCGCCCCCTCCCCCACCGCTACAACAGCACCATTCATTCCGGATGGCGAGGGCTGCGCTCGTTTTTCTGTATTGCACCACCTGCAAAAATGCAAAAATACAAAAATTTCTCCGCGGACCAGCAAAGGACCACTGGTTGGTGACCACTGTCTTAGACCACCCCTGTGAAAGGGTTGCTTGACCCCCAACCACTGAGCTAAGGTAAGCAAGCTGGAGGGGGGAAAGTTTTTCCCTTCTCCATGGCTCTGGCGATCCCAGCTGAGTTGCCTGATTAGCAGATCATCAGAGCTTGGATCACCAGAGCCATTTAAGGCTCGTCAGCCTGGTTACAGGAGAACGACACCCGGCGTATAAGACGACCCCCGACTTTTGAGAAGATTTTCATGTGTTAAAAAGTCGTCTTATATGCTGGAAAATACGGTACGTTTAACATTCCAAATACTTTTTAAAAATCAACAGTATTTAGAAATACACCCACTAGAATGGAAGACTGCCTTCCCTAATCCATGCTGGCTGCAGCTGAGGGCAGTGCCAGTTCAGTATATCCTGGGGGCATCAGGTTTGGCATGACTTTTGCAAGCCCTCATCCACACTCCTTAGTGTAGCTAGATTCATAAACACAAAACTATAATGATATGTGTTTGGCTTTGCCTGCATTACATGAATACAACCAACATACCTTAGCACAGAAGTCAACAACTGCTGAAATCTGGAGATCACACCTAACATTTTGTGTGAAAACCAAGGGCCACAATGGATGGGCAATGATGCAAAGTGGGTGATGCTAATTATTTTATTTGTTTGAAGGGATTAATTAATTGTGATAAATTGTAAAACTTGAAGTAAATTTTATGTATTTGTCTTAAGATGATGAAGAAACTGTGCTGCCAATTTTCAGCAAATAATGGTCAAAGGCAACTCTGGGAGCCACAGAATCCCCAGGCAAAGGTTTGCCCACTCCTTGTTTCCTACGATCTGTGAACCATGTTTTATTCAGTAAATGTAATTCATCAGTCAGTGAATACACATTGCCTCAAAAAGCATTATACCCAGTTCAAAAATAAAAATATTTTATAAGCTGTTTGATATTTCTGCAATTTTGTTCTTAAAACTTCCTCTAATCCTGCAAACAGGAAATAATATATAGGAATGAAAGGAGAATATATAAGAACATCAGAACATGTTTTTTACCTGAGGATATTTAGGCAAACATTGCCTTCTAAGTCTATATTTGGGTGATACACCATAGTCTCACACTTGACTTTGGGAGGATCATGTGGGTAACCTTGCCCGACCTGTAAGCAAAACACAAAACAAAGACACCATGTCAGTTTTTTCATGTTCAATATTGTCCATTCAATGTTCCTACCAAAAATTTGGGCCATCTATGTAACTATATATGGCTTTCCCATTCTTCACTAATTTTTTGCCAGTAGATTTGGGGTTTTGCCATATCTGAATGGAACAAAAGGTAAATTATATTTTGAGGCACGCAATGCCCCAAACTAGAATGGAGAAACAGGAGAGGAATCCTGGCTTCTCTATCAATGTACACAATGCAATGTGTCCGGATAACTGATATCCCATTCATTCAATCAAGATTTCAATGTGAAGCATTTGTTTATAAGGCTGTTTTAATTACACAGTTTTGTTTTAAGAACTTGATTGTAGAGCAATATGAAAACAGTTTGGTACAACTAAATTGCTGAAATTATAAGCTCCAAATCCTTACAAGTTTGAATGCTGACAAAGATCCAAATAATAACCGTAGAGTAAAATAATGAACCATATATACTACTCTGAAATTTGGAAGGATGCAATAAAAATGTAATTGTTTCAAACACAGTAGCATTTTTTTCATGAACCCTTAATGCTAAAATCTTAAATACTTTCCCTGAATTGAAGTACTGTAAATTTTTGAAAACTTTCCAAGTTGCTTCCCATAAGAGTCCTTCCCTCTAATCACTTTATTTAAAACTGCTTTAATATTTCATTTTTGTCACCTCAGGAAGGAAAGACTAATTTTCCCTGGAATTCTCAGCAGAAATGTGAATATTAGACTCTTCCCTTTCTCTTCTGACAAACAGCCATAAAATTTCCTAATTTCTAGTAGTTCTGACTCACTGAACAGATTTTTAGCAAAGTTAAGACAGAAATGGCAGACATTGCCACAGCATAAAGTTTCCTGCTTTCTTAATCTCCAGTTAAAGACACAGGTTTTCTAAAGTTTCTGTATTAGCATTATTTTAATTCAATTGTTGTAAGATTTTTATAGACTTACTTTTAACACAAAAGGAAGTATAATAGTTTACCCTAAGCATTTTTATTAGAAAGATTGGCAAAAGTTCTTCTAATATATAAAAGCAATTCAAATTCAACCAATTTTTGGCTGTCCTGGTCTTTAACAAACCTACATATTCTGACATGTATTAATATTCATTACTGGATTTTCTTTAAATGAAAATTGAAGCTATTGGAATGTCAATATACACCTATGAAGTATACGCTGAACATATGTACAAACAACTTATTGGAAGACTATGGCATATCTGCCTAGCAAGCCAGTTTATATTTCAGACAGTTAATACATCATGGAAGCAATTTCTTCAGGTATTATTTTAAGAAACAAAAATTATAATAATGGATCTGAGTTCCAATCTCATTATTTGTGCAGAAAGTTGTGAAATCACAGACGGTTGTCATTGACTACCACATGTGCCCAATAGGCCATTTTTGGGACATGTCATTTGAATCACAATGATATTTTAAGTGCAGCAAACTGGTTAAATAATCCATAATTCATAAGTATGATATATTCCAAACACAAAATGTCATTTTTTTCATATCCAATTAACTTACAATTAATTTTGAAACACAGATCATTTCAAGTTTCTGAAAATCCATACACAGAAGCTGATCCAATGACCCTCAGACAGTAACTATTAACAGTTGCTTTTTTCCGCAATAATTCAGGACTATTTCTAATTATTACTCTTTTCAAAATTTGTTTCATTCTCAGCAACTGATTTATTTTATCAACACCCTTTAACAGGCAAAATATCTAGGGCAAACTTTGTTGATGACTCCTCCTCATCTTTATCATAGTACCAAGCATACTTGGGATTCTACACAATTGCTCATTAAGCAATCAATTGGATTGGAGTCCCAAACACTTAAGAGATTCTCCCCACTTCAGGAGCAAAACCCAGCTCCATTTTAAGTAAAAAACAGTGAAGCACAAAAGATATTTCATTTATGGAAACTATAGTTCCCAAACTCTGCCCTTAATTAAATTGTTCTTATGCTGACATCATTCATCCATATGTTGCTACCCAAATTGCACAGGGATGGCTGAAATCCAATGAATGGTATTCTCCATGTTATTTTGTGCACCAAAAAAGCTAATTATATAGTACTTGCCCTATTGGATGTCTTAGATAGGGAGCAGACACAGATTGCTTACCTTAAAGCTGAACACAAATTTCCCACCTTTATAGAATCCCTGAAAGACAAACATTGGATAATTTAAGCAAGTATATTTCCCAACAGAAGGAAACAACTCTAATAAATTTCAGATGTGGGAAAATGGGAGGGGACAGCACTAAAGTTACAACAAAGTAGTTCTCTTTCCAATCCCCCAACACAAACCATCAAATTCCCCAAATGTTTACATTTTAGGATATATATCTTTACTTCACATTTCAAAATCCTAGAAATAATCACATACCCAATCTAGAATAGGCCTAAAATACACAGAAAATAGGGAATTCTTAGCTGCTTAGCTTTACATGCATTTCTGCAAGTAAAGAAGCAAAAAGGCTAGCAGACAGGACTGTACTCAGAAAAGGACAGAGTATTTATTTGCTAACATTCCGAATGAGATTGTACTCCATTATTCTGGATCAAAGAGCAATCTGGGAATGTTTCCTCACAAGAAAAGTTGTCACACAGATTCATCATATGTGTTTTAAAGTTATCGCATCAGATTCTATATTTTATCAGATATTCTAAATATCTATTTCAGATATTCTAAAAATAGAATATGTTAAGTTCTCCTTTTCATCCTCTCATCCAACATTCTCCCCGCTTTAGAATAAGTTATTTTGCGAAGACATTTTGCCTACCTTTGTACAAAATGGACCACCCTGCATTCAAAATGTGAACAATTTTAAGCAATAATAATGGACTTAAAGTACAAAAGTAAAAATATCACAGACATATACTGATATGAATGCCAATATCACAGGATACATTGGTCTACTGCAGGGCTGTCAAACTCGTGGCCCGTGGGCCGGATGTGTCACGTGCTGACCACACCCACGCCTGGTTTAGCGAAGGGCAAAAAGTTCTGATACATCACGTGACACCGCCATGATGATGCACATCAGGTCTACTGAATCATCCCACTCATAAAGTTTCCCAACCAATCATTTCTTAAGACCAGCATCTGAAGAGATAAAACACTGATGTGTGGTCAAAGCCATTTACCGTTGATATAAAAAGTCTACACACCTCCGTTAAAATGCTGCTTTTTGAGATGAAAAAAAAATCAGACCAAGGTTTTTCAGAATTGTTTCCATCTTTAATATATGTTGTATAAAAACAAACTGCAATCTCTTTTGGGGAGGGGGAGAATAACAAAAACAAATATATAATAATATGGCAACATTAAGCATGCACACTCTTAAAAGTAGGGAGGTGGCTGTGTTCAGTAGTAACAATCACATTCAAGCTGATGTTAATTAGTAGTTAGTACACATCTGCCATAACTCTAATCAAGGCCATAGAGAGTTCAACTGTTCTAGTAAGATTTTTCTGACATTTATTTAGCTGCCTTGCACAGCAAAAACCATAGTCTGAATAGTTTACAAAGCATCAAAGGGATCTCATTGTTAGAAGGTTTTTGAGATGTAAAAATATCAGCCCAAGATAAATCGGATCTCAGAAATCTGGCATTTTAACATGTATGCAGGTTTTTTATATGAACCATTTTTTTTAAAGCCACACTTTGCCTTCTGCACAGGTAAATTCAAAAAAGCCAATTTTGAGAAATCTTTTACTATAATTACCCTAAAAACAAAAAAGTAAAATAGGTTTAATACTTATGGTGCAGTGACAAGCTAAGAAGGGTATGCATAAGAAGTAAATATATATATATATATGGCAGGATGTAAAGAACATCAAGAGGGAATTTCCCAGACAATATCATCCCTCTGATGCACTACTCTTCACAATTTCAAATACGAGAGCTCTAATGATTAAAGCTATTTTCAGTAAGTACTTTTTCTCCAAACAAATTATATCAACAGCTTCAAGGTGTTGGTTATCACCTTTAAAGCGCTCCATGGCATAGGGCCTAGCTATCTCCGAGACCGCCTACTGCTACCGATGACCTCCCATCGACCCGTGCGCTCCCACAGAGAGGGCCTCCTCAGGGTGCCATCAGCCAAACAATGCAGGCTGGTGGCCCCCAGGGGGAGGGCTTTCTCTGTGGGGGCTCCCACCCTCTGGAATCAGTTGCCCCCGGAGATAAGAAGAATCCAGGACCTCAATGCCTTCCGTCGTTCCCTGAAAACCTATCTTTTCCAGCAAGCCGGGTTGGCTTAAGAAGAAATTTTAAAACTTTTAAATCCTTTTAATTAGTCTGTGATTTTTAATTTTTTGGGCCAAATTTTATATATATTTTTAAATGTTTTAATATTTGTATTCTATGTTTTTTATCTTGGCTGTACACCGCCCTGAGTCCTCAGGGAGAAGGGCGGTATATAAATTCGAAATTAAATTAAATTAAATTAAATTAAATTAAATTAAAACCATCCGTTATACAGAGGAAAATATGAAAGGGAAGGTGAGAGAAAGTCCACCAGCACTGGGCACAGCCTATTAACTCACTAATAATGGGGTTTCAGGATTCAAATAGCACAGTATGCTGTAGCATGTGCATTACTTACCTCATCAGGACAGATAACTAGCTTAAAATTGAGAAGATCATCCTGGTCTGAAAAGTCTATTTCACATGTTTTCGGCAAATTCAGTTCATTTATATCTGTCAGGAAAAGCAGAAGAAATTGCCAGTTTAGAGAAGGCAAGATGGTTAGAAATTTTTGTAGCCAAATCAGTAGAAAAGTAAGCGTCTATTCCTAAACCAAAATATGTAATTGCTCTTTATGTTGATCATTAACTAAAAACTGATACATTTCTCTGAAAACTTTCAGAAAAAAAAAGAAACCTAAGTCAACAGTTTCCTGACCACAAGAACCACGAGGAAAATTTGATCCAATCTCCTGATGTTCTAATCTTCCTAAAATGGATCGAGGATAGCTTTTTGGAAATTTAAATTCACTGTATATCTTATGAAATGAAAAAAATGTGCTTTTGCACGAGAACTGACAACTATTAAGGGGCAACCAAGTTACTATAACATAAGACAGTATGTTATAGGCATGGTTTAATATGAAAGAGAAGAATATTAGTTATTTTAAACAGAATATTTGAAATTATAAAACACAGCATGTATCCAAGATAGAATAATTAATAGAAAACACCTCATAGCTTATTCTAACTTCAATGTTTATAATAAAACAAGTGGAGTGGGTCAATAGCTAAAAAACCTTGTAGAGGAAGGACAAGGGGGGGGGAAATTATCAGCAACATGCAGTTTGAAAAAGTATTCAGAGATCTTCAAATTATTGGAGGCCATTTATATTGTTTATAACTCATCCTGTAAAGAAAACCAGACAGCCTTGGTTTTGTGACCCTGAAAAGGCAGACTCTTAAGATAACAAGAGTGTTCTGGCAGCAAAAGGAGTCATGGTCTTTCCATGAACTCTGTAAGCAGCCACTACGCAGACACACTTGGCCTCCCTTAAAGGACTTGCTGGGGATCACTAGATAAGTATGCATTAAAGATATGCATTAGGAAAAATATGCATTAAGAAAAATATACATTAAGATAAATATACATTAAGATAAATATGCATTAAGAAAAACCGAAACACTAAGGCACGAAAGTGAAAATAAAACCGTGATGTCCATCCACAGGAGAAGAGGAATCCCTTGGGTGGGCCAAGTTTTAATCCTGTCGACTCAGGTACCCACAATTAAAACTATCGGAGGACCCCTGTGCGGCACAGGAGGAGGAGAAACAGGAGGAGCCCCTGCCCTCGCCGGCCCGGCTTTTGTTTCTTTGCCCTTAAGAGACAAGCGCAGCCGCCCATCTGTCCCGCTAACCTTTCTGGATGCGGAGCTGAGCGGCAGACGCTTTCTTGCTGGAGCCTTTGGTGCCGCCAGCCGATTCCTCCTCCTTCTTCTGCTGCTTCAGCGAGAATAGCTTGATCATCTTGGCTGGCTCGGCGGACTGTTCCTTCGCCCTTCTGACCCTGGCTTCGGCCTGTCCCCCAGTGGCTACCGCAGCCAAGCCCAGCCCAAGGCTACTCCGGTCTCTTGAGAAAAGAGAAGGAGGGAAAGGTAGGGGGGAATGGCGATTCCCGCGGCCTGGCCGCCCGAGAGAGACGGGACGGGAAGGGCGGGGAAGCCGGGCGAGGGGTGAGGGGGAGAGGAAAGGAGACGGGGAGGAGAGCGAGCCAGGGAAAGGGCCAAGCAACCCGGGCAGCCCCGCCTCAGAACGCCAACGCCGCCGCCGCCGTCGCCTCCGCCGGTGCTGCTTTTTCCTATTGCGGGATCGGTGTGTGAGTCGGACAGCAACGGACGGCCCTTCCCGGAAGAACGTCGGCAACTTCCGTTTTATACCCTCAAGCCCCGCCCACTTGCCGATTCTCCGAAAGGACTCCAATGCATTCGCTGGGAGGCGAGTGACGCTTCGGAAAGCTTTCCAAAGCGGAGGGTCTCAGCCTTCTTCGACTTTTTTTTTTTTTTTTTTTTTAAAGTTGCTCTCGTGGTTTTCCGATTCGGCTTTCTGTTTTCTATCTCCTCGGGCTTCCGGCTGAGGAATCCGAAGCAGGGATTTCCGCCCGGCATTCGACTCTCAACTTAGAATTCTGGGACTCCCCCAAGAGTCACAGCATCAGAGCGCTTTTCTAAAATGTCCGGTTCCCAATTGATTATGCGGGGCAAGCGTTGCGGAGGAAGTTGGGGGTGGGGGGGAAGAGGGAGAAAAACACTCCAGGACGTTTTTTTTATTACTATACTATAGTTGCTTAAAATCACGTCTCAGTAAATGCCCTGCGAATGTTGAAAGAGAAGCAAATATGCTTCTGCCGGCCCCGTTTTGCGCAGAGCGTTTGAGCCTGCCTAACAAAAGTCGTCCACGTGCGTAACGGAAATGAGGGTCTGCGAGGAAATCTGTCTTGCTTTGTCTCTTTTACGTTCAACTGTGCTCACGCCGCGGTCAATGGGGAAACGTTTCTGCTTTAACTCGCCGATCAAGCTGGCGCAGAAGAAAGTTTCCAAAGAAATCCGTATATGGATAGATTCCGCTTTCCTGCAAATTAGCTTCCCAATTGTTTCATGTTTAACAAAGTTATGTATGGGGGAGTAGTTGTTATACCCATGAGCCTGCGATAGTCCTTGCATTTTGTCAAATGTATTTTAGTCCTGATGAGTGAATCTAGTCCTGATGAGTAACTAGAGTTGGAAGGGACCTTGGAGGTCATTTAGACCAACCCCCTGCTCACGCAGGAGACCTGTACTAGGGATTCGAACCCCCGAACTGCGGACCTTTCTGATCGACAAGCTCAGCGTCTTAGCCACAGAGCCACCTAAATAGCTTTATTTTCAAGATTTCTTCTGCCCCTTTCTTACACATTCTATAGTTTTTAATGAGCCTCCCACTATTAGTGTTAACACTTCGGAACTACTTTATATACAGCTAATCCTCAATTTAGGACCGTAACTGAGCCCCAAATTTATGTTGCTGAGACGTTTTAAGAGAATTTCATCCCATTTTACGATCATACCACATCTGCTAAGTGAATCGGTGGTTAATTTAGTAACACGGCTAACCTGGCTTCCCCATCCACTTTTGCTTGTGGGAAGATTGCAGAAGCTGATCACATGATCCCAGGACACTGCAACCTTCATAAATATGAACGAGTGACCATGGGGATGCTGCAATGGTCAGAAGTGTGAAAAACATGTCACTTTTTTTCAGTGTCATTGTAACTTTGGTCACTAAATAACTGTTGTAAATGGAAGACTATCTATATTTGTTTTCTGCGGTCACATATTGCTCAGCTTGAACGGAAAAAACTTTTGGAAACTTTCTTCTGCAGAAAATTGGGTTTTGAGGTACTTCAAATGCTATTTTTTGCTCTCGTCGAAGTTCATTTAGGGTCCCCAGCTAGATGCAATATGTAGCCAATCTCTTGGTGCCAATCAAATAGATTAGTACTTCTGAGAAATTACTTTTAAGTTCATCCCAGGATTATAGGTTAGACTATGAAGTGACAAAGCTATCCCAAAAGGCAACGGGAATTAATTTGGTACTCTTGTCAAGGAAACAATACAAACACCCTTGAAGCCACAATAAATTTGACCAAGAGTTTTAGTCACGGCTTATTCTTATTCTTTTGATCCACTGGAAGCAGTCTTCTGTTTATGACGATTGGGAAGTTTCAGTTGTCAAGCATGGCAGTTGTAAAGTGAGCAGGCTAGATTTTATGATCTTTCCACCAGGTTTGTAAAGCAACTCATTGCATTTAAGAGGATTGTATCTTTAAATGAATCTGACTTCCCCCAGCTGTGAAGGCCACGACAGGACCCTGAGATGCTGCAGCTCTTGTGAATGCATACCTGTTGCCAAGTGCCAACATTTTGATCATGCAACCTGGGCAGGCTGCCACAGTAAAGTACAAAGACTGGTCATAAGTCACTTTTTTCAGTGGTTTGAGGACTACGTATAGGCAAGCTTTCCCATGGATATGCCAATCTGTCTCATATAGTATTATTCTGCCAATATTTCATCATTGTAGTTTTGTTTTTTGGCATAATGAACAGATTTCTCCATGTTTTTCCTGTATACTAGTTCTTTCAGTTTGTTTGAATTACTGTCAAACTATATGGCAAAATCCCTCTATACCAGTGGTTCTCAACCTGGGGGTCGCGACCCCTTTGGGGGTCGAAAGGCCATTTCACAGGGGTCGCCAAAGCCCTCTCTTGCCCCCCCCCCCACGCCTTCACTCACCCTCACCCTCTGCCTCTGTTGGATCGCCCTGTCGCCGCTTACCCCGCCCACTCCCAATCTATTGCTGCCTCCGGAGTCCCAGCTGATGGCTAGAGGGAAAAAAAACTTTAAATTCTTGCCACGAGGCTTCAAAGAGCTAGCTGCAAAGAGGTAAATTCCTGGAGCAAGTTTTTTTCCCCCTAGCTATGCTGAAAAGAGAAAGCGAAAGCAGGGTCTTAGCTGCAACGTGACAAAATGAGGCAGAGAGATTTCTTTTTCTTTTTCCTCACCAAAAAAGGTAGGTACAAAACTGCAAACAATGGGAAATTTAGGGCAAGAGGAGGTTCAAGATTTTAAAATGCAAAAGAAAAAAAAGCTCTATTTAACTAGGGAATTGTAATAATTGAGATACTATTAATTGTATATTGTATTGAAAGCAGAAACAGTTAAGTTGTGGTTTGGAGGAATATATGGGGGAAATTATTTGGTTTATTATTATTGGTAAATATAATTAATTGATTTGTAAGAAATTGGATTGCATGGAAATAATTGGAATATTCATGTTCATATTGATTAATATACAAAAAAAGATAGTTATATAACTAATTGATTTATATTAAAATGTTGAATTTGTATTAAACAACTGTATTACATAATTAACCAATGTGAGGATGGATATGAAAATAGATGACAATGCGAAGGGGTATAATATAGAATAGAAGGGAAAAATTGAATTTGATTTAGAGATGAGGATGAAGGGCAATATTGGTTTTTAAAAAAAATAGATTATTATTATTATTATTATATTTAAATTTGTATACCGCCCTTCTCCCGAAGGACTCAGGGCGGTGCACAGCCAGATTAAAATACATACAATACAAAATTTAAAATAATTTAAAACAGAATTAAATCCAATTGGCTTCCCAAAGTATTTAAAACCCATTACCCCTTAAAAACCCTTTAAAAATTTCAAGCCAGCCTGGCTTGCTGGAATAGGAAGGTCTTCAAAGCTCGACGGAAGGTCCGGAGGTCCGGGATTAGTCGTATTCCTGGGGGTAGCTTGTTCCAGAGGGCGGGTGCCCCTACAGAGAAGGCCCTCCCCCTGGGGGTCGTCAGTCGGCATTGCTTGACCGACGGCACCCTAAGGAGGCCCTCTCTGTGGGACCGAACTGGCCGGTGGGAGGTTATCGGTGGCAGAAGGTGGTCTCGCAAATGAGGAATAAATATGGTAAAAAGGAAATATAGAAATTGTAAATTTAATTGAAATGACTAAATACTGTGTTGGAAGAAATATCCTTCTGGGTTCTGCTCCAAGTGGGGAAAAAGACACTGGAAACATGGAGACTGCTTGGAAAGATGGTTTAATGGTGGACAGGATCACATGGCTTGATGGGGCCCATTGTGTGTTTCTGTTGCTATTGTGTTGCAAATGTCCTTTGACAAAGGATTGACTTTCTGCCTCTGGCCCATTAACAAAGGGTGGGGGGCAAAGGTGGGAGCTGCTTTGTCTGTAAAATATGCTTCTCCATTTCTCATCCAGGGAAATATTCTGCCTTTTTAATATTTCCCAAAATATTCCATTCTTCTAGGAAAGGGGTGGGTGCTAACCTCCTACAACTGTTTAAATTTGTGGACCGACCAAATACTCTGTTCAAAGAAAATGCGTTGTATGTTTGTTTGTGTGTTTCTAATTATTGCTATTTATTGCTATTTGTTCTCTTTTATTCTTTAAAGTTTAACAATTCACTCTTTATCTTAATATCTTTATATTTGTTTGGGGTTGGCTTTCTTCCCTTTCATCTTTTTTATTGTACAGCAATCTTTCTCCTCAAACCTACCACCTCTGTCTTTTCTTTCCTTCTTACTTTCTCTTCCCTTCTTCTTCTCCCTACTTCTTCCTTTCTCCTTCCTCTCCTCTCTTACCCTCACTCCTACTCTAATTTCCCTTCCCTTCCTTCATCCCTCTCTATTGCTGTATCCTTTTATGCATATGGACTACTCAGAGGGCTGAAAAGGTTATTTTTGACTGGTCCTCGCACTTTTGACCAGTCCTCGAACTTACGACTGTCCTCACAATTTATGTTTTTGCCCTATCTTGTCACCATGGTGAAGAGAAGCAGTTGTGAAATGAGTGACACGGTTGTTAAGAATGGTACAATGGGCATAAATGATGACCAGTCATAACTGCGAAGACCGGTCAAAAGTGCGAGGACCTGTCAGAAATCACATTTTTCAGCCCTCTGGGTAGTCCTTTTGTGCACAGGGACTACTCAGAGGGCTGAAAAAGTTATTTTTGACTGGTCCTGGCACTTTTGACCAGTCCTCGAATTTAAGACTGTCCTCACATTTTACATTTTTTGCCCTATCTTATACCATGTTGAAGAGAAGCAGTTGTGAAATGAGTGACATGGTTGTTAAGAATGCTGCACAGGCATAAGTGTGAGGACCAGTCAAAAGTGCGAGGACCTGTCAGAAATGACTTTTTTCAGCCCTCTTGAGTAGTCCCTATACACATAGCCATGGCCACCTGGTCACATGACCAGCTAGCCATGGCCACCCAGTCACATGACCAAGCCACACCCACAAAATAAGCCACACCCACAGAACCAGTAGTAAAAAAAATTTAGAACCCACCCCTGGTTGGGGGTCACAACATGAGGAACTGTATTAAAGGGTCGCAGCATTAGGAAGGTTGAGAACCACTGCTCTATACTTACATATTTAAGGATGAAATATTTGCTCCTAAGTTTCTAAATTTACCAAATATTAGTAGTTTCTAGGATAGCTGGAATTGGTATTTTCCATTTTGGAAATACTCTCATTTGCTTTAGCAGGTCTTCACACTAACCTACT